TTTTGCCTCGCAATTCGACTGCCAGTTTTGGACAAGGGGCTGCCGAGCAGGTCCGCCAGGGCATTGCTGATCTCGGGCGGAAAGTCGACGCCTTGCATGTGACGGTGGTCGAAGGCGACCGGTTCACGCTGCCATGTCTGTGGACGTTGGAGGAGAGGACGGGCATGGGATTCGTTGCCAGGTCCGTGCGAGCGCTCTTGAAAACAGAGTTTCGCGTGTCCTTTATCTGCGAGATGCGGGACGGCGATCGCCGGTGTGAACCCTACCCGTGCGACCAGGAAGAAGCGTTGATCGTTACAGCCAACTCTCCGCTCGTGCAAGGCGCCCTTCCCTTCCTTAAGGTGACGTGTTCGCTGTTCAAGGTGCTGGGCCTCGTTGCTGGGGCCGGCGGCATCGTTGGCGATTTCTTCAAGTTTGACGACTCGACCATGGCAAACGTCACGTCTGCGATCGACGCCGTCGCCAACTTCAACGAAAACGTTATCGAGAAGCTCGATGTGGAAGAAAAACTCAACAACTTGGCCGATTCGCTCGCGGACAACAGAGACCCGGAAGAAGTGGCAAGCATCATGAGCCAAACGCTCCAAATTTACAAGCAACACCGCAAGGACGCGGGCAGCTACGAACGACTCCACCAGGTACTTGGCAGCATCAAGTTTGACTGGACGAAGCACCACATTATTGGTGGCCTGGTCAAGAAAGTGATCAAGAGTGGATTCCCCGATGCGGGCGAGGTCCGATGGGTGTGCAAAGCTCATGCAGAATCGAACGAGAACATCTTGATGTAGCTCGCTCGATCTCCTTGTAGTCCTTATCCAAAAAGAATCGGTACGCGTCAGTGGAAATCTGCCCATGAGGCTTTCTCCACGACGGCCAGGCATTTTCATGCCGCGTATGGATGGGGATTTCGCGAAGATGACCAGGGAGTGGTTTCGTGGATGCAGTCCCACTTTGAAGAAGGCACTTGGAGGACAGCGTCAGCGAAACACGTTTTGCCCGATCTCACCACGAAACTCCGACTTGGAGATTCACGACGGCAATCGTGGATATCAATCTATTCCTCGGTCGAATGCGCATCGCACACAAATCGAGTGTGTGGGAAGATGCAGGAGGTTTTAAGTCCTCCGATGGACAACCACAACCAGTTGAAACCAATCTAACTCAGCGCCTCCAACACCTTGTCGATTGTGTTGACCGGAGCTCAAGACACGCAGCGTAAAATTCTTCTACGACGTGCTTGCCTCGTCGTCGTCCAGGCTTTGTCATGCAAGCGATCGGTCATCGCTTTCAACTGGCTTCATTCGGTCAAGGGCGCGTTGTGGGGCCTTGCAATGTCTCCAGTGCGCCTTTAACAACCCACCCGTGGAAACGTGTACTTCGTCATCCAGTGCAAACGCACCCAAAGGCTGGTTGAACAGCGCGGCCAAATTCAGTGCTTGAAGAATCAACGAGCTCACATTCAGGATCGGCAGATTTTGTCGGATCACGTTTGTGTCGCGTCACCACGAGCGCGATGTCCCGCTAGCTCAGTTGTCGGCTGCACGAAGGCGTTGTGTGACAGTTCTAATGTACTGTTATCCGGATGCATGTCAAAATCTTCATTAGACAGATTTCGCAAACGCTGGTTCTGTTCTATCTGTATCCTATCCTGCCAAATTCGATTCGTTTCGAACCATCCTGTAGCAACGCTGCATCCGCATAACATATACTTTGAGCCACCCTTAACAGCCATCATGTCCGACGAGGTGCAACCAGACGCCGACTCCGCAGCACGGAGTGATCCCGACGATCTAAGCCTCCTCACACAGGTCACAATGACCTTCCTCATAAACATGCTAAAAACACAGCCAAGGCATGGGACAGTGCCGCAGCCAAGCTGCTGCAGGTGCCATCGTACATCCGGGATCAAAGGTCTCTCCACGACGCAAGCCAGTAGACGAAACAATGTCATGCGCTTGCGGTAGTTCGCCCCACGTGGCTTCTTAAGAAACACTTCGATCTCATTTCACGACAAAATTTTGGGAAGTGGTGGGCACTCAGGATGCCACAAGTTGATTGGGTGAATTTCGCGGATAGAACCAATATGAATCGGATGACTTGCAAAATTCGATGGTTGTGAAGTTTCATTCTATCCGTGTTCTGAATTTTAGATCACAGATAGAATCAGCGTTTGCGAAATCTCTCTATTGATATTGACACCGACCTCTCAGGCTGCAAGCGACTCCCCCAAAAAGTCACGTGGGTTGCTAGCGGCTCTCCCCACGAGTCGCCTTAACTTTCCAAATTCATTTTGCAGAGCTGGATAGCATAACCCTGCCAATTCAACCTTTATTTTACTAACTACTACCTCTGTGTGTGTCTTGTTACACCTGGTAGCACTACAAGTTCGTCCAAGGACCATGATAGATTCCTATCAATCGGTACACGACTGCATGATCGACATCCTTGGCGAATGCGATTCCCAGTCGCTCGTTTCTCCCCTTTCCGTCGAAGCCCGAGAATAACTGCTTGAAGGCATCGGTATAACCCTCAATGACACGACACAACCCCTCGAAGCTCGCATCAGCCAGCTGACCGTGGAAGGGCGAGTCCTCGAAGAATTGCTCCGCCAGAGCGAGGGAGAACTTCCCACAATGCGGTGTAGCCCTTCAAACTGAGGTCGCGCTACTTTGCGATCGAAGTTCGTCACTAGAATTGTCTATGTCCCAACTGCGCGAGTCTCTTCAAGACGCACAGGCGCTGATTCGCCGCACATACCAAGAGGCTGCGACTATGAGCAGCCAGCGCCAACAATCCACCCATGGGGGCTGAGCCAGTGAAGCTTGACGTCACCAAGTTCGACTCCGACCCCGGTAAACTCCTCCTTTGACTGCATGTCGAGAGCACGCTGATGAGTTGTGTATCACCCGCGAATCTGCGCCCGTCGTATTTGCCTTTTCTCATCTTAAGGGCGAGGCGGAAGACTAGGCGTCATCAATCCGTCTGACCAGCCCCACATCTTTCGAAAAGTTTGACGAGCATGTCACGGCGATCAAGCACCGCTTCCTCCTTCAACACATCAATATCCGACATCCCACTAAGTTCCTAGCATGCAGGCAAGGTAAATCCCTCATGCGCATTTGTCACGTGCCGAAGACCGTTGTCTCGACAACTAGTGGGAGTTGCTCGTAATGCCCCAAGGCCTACCTTATGCTCCAGCGACTTCAATCGCATCGTGACGGCCACTTTCGCCCTGTTCGGGGTTTCGCCCCGTCAAAATTTGACGACATCTACATCCATAGTCGCGATTATGAAACCGAGACCGACCTAGACGTTCACCCTCGGAAACTTCGTGCGGTCGTTACCATTCTTCATGAAAACGTCTTGTTTGCTAACCTCGCCAAATATCTTTGTGGTGTCGACGAATTCCCTGTACTTGGCGGCCTTGTCGGCACTCGAGGTTGCCGGGTTGATCCCGACAAATTCGAGACCATCGTTGATTGGCCAGTCCCCTCCTCGACCACAGTTCTTTGCCGGTGGCTTGAATTAGCACAGGTCGCAGTTGAGTGATCGAAATGGCAAATGTAAAAGTGATTCAAGCTTAGGTGGGCCGACCCCAGCACCAAATTCAGGTTGAATCTGGTCTGCACATCCAGCTCCTCCGTGTCTGTGTGCTGGGATACTTTGAGCCGGGAACAGTGGCATGTTGACCCAGCACCCAGACCGCCAGACCGTGGCTGTGCTAACACTCCCCATGACTGGGGGCAACTATCAGAAAACGCAAAGGAAAGCTGAAAACGCAATACCCGAAGCTGAATAACACAGAATCAAGTCTGAATAACACATAATTG